TTTATACTTTATGTAAAAATTTTAAATAAATATTCAATAAAGATAGAGGCATGGCCTTACTATTAATATTAAAAAAACTATATATTATTTAAAGAACTATTGTCTTTTAAACATAATATGTAATTTGAATTATCTGTTCAGAAGCAGTTAGTAATTATGAGACTGTGATATTTTTTTGTTAAGTTAGCAAAAAAATGTGCAGTCTCATGATCACTTACTGCTTCTGACCAGATAATTCAAATTATTACTGGCTTTGGCACAATGACTAGGTTGACCCTTAGCATACATCTTTTAGACTGGACTGGTTGATTAAAGAAGTGTTAAAATTAATTTTCTTATAAAACAATTTTAGGTTAAAGAAATTGGCCAAAAATTAACTAGTAGTTACAACAAAGTAGAGTAGATATTTATGATAAATTGGCAAATACTAAATGTAAGAAATAGAAATATTCTGATATGTTCAGCTGCATAAACAATTAATTAATATAAAGTACTAACATGCTGTAATTGCTTAAAAACAAAGTAAATAAAAATAAATAATTTAGTATTACTAGACTTTGTTAAAAATGACTTATAGTTGTTATGAAATCCAAAAAAAGAAATTATAACAATAAAGTTTATTGTTATAATTTTTTTTAGAGGGTTTTGTCTAACAACTATAGGATAACTGTATAGATGATAATAGAATTTAAAAAGAAAATTATAATAATAATAACTAATCATTTGTATTATTAAAATTTTCTATTTTAAATTCTATCATAATCTATAAGATGATCTGAAGATTTTCTATGCATTTGATATAAAATTCTGATTAGAAAAAAAATTATTTTATGATGTTCCAAGTCACTTCTCATCAAATTATAGTCATATTTTTAAAATCTCTTAACTATGAAATTTAAAAAATTATTAAAAAAATAACTGATAATAATTATTATTTTTAAGTAACTTTATTATATTTATTAGTTAAATTTTTTTAAAATCTCTAAATATTGAAGTTATAAGCAGTTAAAGTTTAGAAAATTTACACAACTTCTTATGTAATTTATAAAATTGTCTCTATATTACTATATATAATCTATGCAAAATTGGCATTATATTCATTACATATATGTATTTTACATTAAAATTGGCATGAAGACAAGAATAACTTATCACTTATAAGATCAAATTATAGTGTTAATTAATCAGATTAAGTTGAATAGTATTTCAAAAGTAATTTTTTGGTTGCATATAGTACTGTATTGCATGACTAAAAATCCTTCCAGAATCTATTGTACTTAGGATACTAAAGATGATTAAATTGTGTAAAATAACTAGATACTAAAGATAGATTACTTGTATCTGGAATATAAAATTATGCAACTTATACATACCCTCTAGTATTCTTCTACTATAATACCCACATATACAGCTCAAATTGTAAAGTATATTTGGTATTTTAGTTCACTCTGTATGGTATTTATTTCTGGAGTTAGGTTGTATAAGGAGTAAATCATAATTAGTAGAATTGATGTAATAATGTTTAATAATGCTATGTAATCTTAAAGTTTGTTATTATTATGCTAAATCGAAGTTATAATTATATAAAAATTAAATAAATAAGAGGTTTATAAGATCGAATTCATACTTCCTATTGTTCTTTAGTAACTATTCTGTGTTCTACAATAACATTATAGTAACTTGTGCATAAAAGATTATGAGAGGTCATTAAATAAGGTGTGGTCAGTATTTGAGTAGAGAAAAATTACAAAGTGTAAAAGCAAGATAAAATAATATTAAATGCCAAGACATTAATTACTTTACATCAGTGGTTATTCTGATAGACAATATAATCTTGAATTTTGTTATAATAAAGAAGTTAGTACTGCAATGAAATATATTTAAATTCTTCTAAACATGATTCTTCTGGTGGTTTTAGACTCTGCTATAATATGTTCATTACCATCTGGTCCTGGTTTTATTGAAAATTAATCTGTTATTGCATAAAATTAGTGAAAATATAAAATTATTTAATCAACAATAAATATATTAATCAATATACATAGTTTAAGTTAACTTAATATATTCTCTACATATAAAAGCTTGTGAGTTTTACTTCTCAATATTCTAATATTAGCATAAAAATATAAATTTGAGCCTTAATTCATCTGAATGTTTCATAAATTAATAATTTTTATGATATCATATATTATTTATTTTAATATCAATAGCATATATAATAGAAATGCAACTGTATTATGTGTAGATATAATTATGTTGATAAGTACAAGAAATATGTAAAATAATTACTAAATTTTCATATTATTAACATTAAAGCTAATTTTGCAGCTATGACAGATTGCTGCTTTAGTTATTTTAAAAACTGATAAAAAAAAAAACTATGTCTAATAATAGTCTAGATTCTTTAAGGTTAAGTTTGATATAATAAAATTCATTAATTTATTTATAAGTTTACTTTTGTCAGATTTTAAACTAATTCAAATTTATAAATTTTATGAATTTAAATATATACATAGTTGATATTATTTTCAAACAATATTGGTAATATTATAGGTGTAGTGACCTAGTGAAATGATTAGGTTATCAACCCCCAAGTGGTAAGTTGGGTGTTTAAATCTCATCAATAGTGAAAATTTGGATAATCATCTATGTAATATTTGTATTATGGCAACTGTTACTAATGATTGGGTTAGGATACCTGTAATGGTAGTTGTACCAGCATGACTAGCAGGTCATGGGGCATCTGTGTAAGTATGGCATTACACAAAGAAATGCAAACTGACAAATCAGACAGTGCAAACACTAGATAAGTCCTTGTGGTCATATAAATCTATTGAAATTGAGTAACAAAAAGTCTATTTGGAAAGACCTGAATAGAGAGGTAGCTAGATCTTTGATGGCTCTACTGTAAAGGCTAGCCTAAAGAAACAGATACTAAGGTCATATTATCTGGTCTTAGTAGCCAGATGGGCAAGAACCCCCAGGTTGGGAGTCTTCAATCTACTTTTAGTACCAACTTGGTCCAGGTGATCATCAGAAAGAGTGTTATTGAATATAGTAATTCAGAATATAGTAGTTCAAAACTTTTAATATATGAATTAGAGAATAGTAATAAGAAAAATTTTAGTAATGAGAAATAGAACTTAATGAAAAAAAAGCCAAACAATTAATATATGAAAATAGTTTTTTTATAATCTTTGATGAGATAAAAAAGCACCTAGTGATCAGTTATCATATTATTTTGATAGTTCAAAATATACTTAGCAATGCAAAAATAAGAAATTACAGAAGGTGGCACAAAGATCAATGAGTTTGAATAATTTTTTTAAACCAAAAAAAAAATTGGAAATTAAAGATGAAATGTTAAATTCAGATATAAGTGATTTAGATATAGCAAATAATAGTTTTATTTTTGAACAGTTAGATATATTAAATAATAGACTTAAAGATGTAAAAAATATGAATGCTTATGAATATCTTTGTTTTTTGGCTATATATAAATAACTTATCATAATTTTTTGTCATGAAGAGTTATAATCATATGTAAAAATAAGCCTTAAAATATCACAAGAAGTTTTTCAACATAGTTTATAGATAGCACATCATATTTGTGAGTGATCAAAGAGTTGGATAACAACTGAGGCCTTATCAGTATATAGACAAGGACAACAAAAATATACACAAACTCTTATTAATAATGAGGACATAAAAGCTTTTGCTTATATTTTATTCATACTATGAGTAAAAGAATAACTGCTAAAAAATTTTAACAATATGTTTAGAACAATATATTGCCACATGTTACTAGTTCTTGCATCACAATTTCATTAGAAACAGCTCAAACTTGGCTTTGTCATCTTGGTTTTGTATACCAACAGCATCAACAAGGAGTTTACTATAATGAACATGAATGTCCTGATATTGTACAATATTGCTCAGTATTTTTTAAAAAAATAAAAAACTTTAAATCTTTAATGCCACAATTTGTTAGTAAAAAATATGAACATAAACATTAATTCTGAAATAAATGAAGAACAAAGAATTCATATTTTTGTCACTCATAATGAGTATACATTCTATGCTAATAATAGTTGTCCCTTTGTATGAGCCCCTCTTGGCATGCTGCCATTACATAAAAAAGAAATGAGTAAAGCTTTTATAGTTTCAGAATTTTTAACTAAGACCCATGATTGTTTTACAATTACTTCTACAGAAATAAGTAAATTAAATTTGCTGCCAACATTTCCACAAGAAGCTTGAGTAATTATTAAACCTAGAAAAAATAATGATGGCTAGTAGAATGCTTTTGATTTGCTTACCCAAGTAAATAATAAAGTTATTCCTATTTTTGAAGCAACTTATCCAAATTGCAGTAGTGTTTTTGTGTTTAATAATAGCACTAATCATAGTGCTTTTGCAAGTGATGCATTATGTATTAAACATATAAATCTTTATTCTGGTAGTAAATAGTTAAAATTATGTAATGGTTGGTTTATCAATGTACAAAATAAACAAGTTATCTGGCTGATGATTTTTTCTAAAAACCTTCTTCCTAATGATGATAATTATATTTTTTATAATCAGCCAAAAGGTATTTGACAAGAGCTTCTTGAGTGTAACTTATAGCTTACTAATAGTCTAAGGCTAAAATGCAAAAATAACTATTATGATTTAAGTATATCTAATTGTTATGCATGTCATCTTTTATCTGCACAGCCTGATTTTATGATGCAAAAATCAGCATTAGAAGAGCTTATTATTAAATAAGGACATGTTTGTATCTTTTATTTTAAATTTCACTATGAGCTGAATTTTATTGAAAGATACTGGAGTGCTGTAAAATATTATTTTTGTGAGCATTGTAATTATTCATAGACAAAATTACAAGTTACTGTACCTAAAGCACTTGATTCAGTATTATTCAGAACTATATGTCATTTTGCACAAAAGGCATGGCATTATATGAATGCTTATAGACATAGACTTACTGGCTGGGTAGCAGAATATGCAGTATGTAAGTATTATTTTCATAAGTATATACCTAATGATATTGATTTAGAACTAAATTAATAAATGCTAAATAATAATAGAAATTACTTATCATTTATCTTATCTATTAAATCAAATAAATAAATATATAAGACCTTATTAAATTTTGTTTAATGCATTCTTTAGCATATTCAATATATTATATGATCATATATATACTAAATATAATTCAAATAACATTTACAATATCTTTGCATAATATATTGGTATATCTTATTTTAAGTTTTTATATTATGTAAATTTAGAGAATAAATTTATCAATTAATAAAGTTAGTATCTAATTTAAATTTAGTAAATTTAATGTATAATTCTTTTTGATTTTTTTATATGTTGAATTAATAAGAATAAATTGTTGATTAATGTATTTATAATAAGTTATTAAGTTTGTAACATTTATATTTGCATAAATCTCTCTTTATTTACATAAATATAATGGTGAATATAAAGACTATTTATTAAAAATCTTAGATTATTTAGTACTCCTGTACTAAAATATACAGTTAAAATTATTAATAAAGATATAAGCAAGGCCTCACCTTAATACCAAAAAAAAATCTTAGATTATAAACTATAGTTTAAAATATAGCTGTTATCATAGTTACTAAATTATAGTATTACAGTATATGCTATAATTAATTGTGCTTAAAATCTTGGAGACTATAAGTTAGTAAATTATTATACTATAGCACTGCAATGCTACATCTCTATAATATTAATTTTGTTATCATAGTTAATTTTAATTTACTAAATATAAGGATATTATGGTTCTGCAAAAATTATGGTCTGGACTGGACTTTTGGACTAGTCTAACTAGTTTTTAATTCTAAATTGAGAACTGGTTTCAGACTGTTCATAGCTTATAGAATAATCTTATTGACTAAAAAAAGAAAAAAAATTATGATAACTGAATCTATAAGTTTTTAATTCAATAACTTATTAATTTTGTCTTAATAATTCATCAATTCAGTCATTAGTAATTTTTCCAATAATTTAAACTGTAGTAAATACTTATATGTGCATGACTTATATGTACATTATGATCCAAGGCCAGTTCAATCTTTTTGACAAGATAATTTTAACATTCTTATTTAGAATTCATGATAATAGCTGTAAGTCAAAAATCTGAAATGAGTAATACTGAATTTCAGATAATTTTCAAATATAAAAATAAAAAAGACAAATTTTATGCCAAATAGTAGTACTACAGCTAATATCAATATTAAATTTGTAACAAGTTTTATAAAGTTTCATACTAACAATGCTAATATTGATTAATGTCTTTTTATATATAGTGAATATTAAAAACCATATAGCCTACTTTGAAAATCAGCCAATAGACCAGGCTATGAACTAGTTTATAGACCAGTTCTAAACTATAATCTAGTTCATAATCCTCTGCTAGTACCAGTTTTTAGGACCAAAACTGAACTTAAATAGACCATAACATCTCTAACTAAATAATATAGATAAAATTAAAATAATTTTCTTTATGTCTAATATCTTTTATTATTATACTTCTTATTATAGTTTTTAACTCTTTAATATATTACTTTATTGCATTCCTATACAATCTTTTATCATATTTTCTTGCACACTTTACAATTACTTATTACACTTTTACATATTTTCCTAAACTTTACTCTTACATTATACAATATCTTTGCCTTAAGACAATATAGTTAGAATAACAAATGATTTAAAACATAATGTTTTAAATTAATATTATATTGCTTTATAAAATAATTTTTTTATGATTTAAATCATTATTATTAATAACCAGATAAATTTTATTTTAGATTATGCAATGTAGTTTTAATGAACATCATATCTGATATTATAATGATTCTGTAGCAAATTGTATAGCACTGTATTAATTTTGTAAATTAAAATTAAAAAATAAGATATCATAATATGTGCAATAATTTAACTAAGTCCAATTACAGTTAATTGCTTGTGTTATACTAGGCTGTAATTAAGAGATCCTAGTATTCATTTAACAAAATATGATTGAAGCTAATTGCTAGCATATTTGCAATCTTAGCTATTAATCTATATAAAATATGCTTGTATTTAGATTTATTGTTCATTTGTATTAGGATTTTTCAGTTTTTATTATCTAAATTTGGCATATCTGAATATATCAGAACTAATTTGGTGCATTTGAATTATATTTAGCCAAATTTGGCACATTTGATAAGAAGTGACTTGGAGCATCATAACAATAACAAATCCTGTATTATCTTAACTTATCTTCTCTTAAACTATGCCTCTCTCTTAAAATGCACTCAATCTTAATTACTTATTTGAACTACAGAGGCTAAAGCTAGAAACTGACATCTAATTGTATTAGAAGATTATATGCTAACTAACACAGAGACAAACATTTTTCATTATTTACTAAGTTAAATGCTATTAATTTAACTAGTTTTTTAACTTTTCACAATATCTAAGCACCTACCTGGCATGGTCCTACTAATGCTAGTCAAATAAATAATTTCTAAATTTCTTCTAATATACTATTAGCATTTGAATTTTTATTACTAGTCATTGTTTTAAACATCTCTAATAGTAATCATTGTATTCTGTATACAACTTGGTATACTAACTTCTTTTTACAAAAAAATCTCAAAAATAAAAAGAAAAATATATCTATTTAACAAAATAATACTTAAAAACTAGAACAACTTTAAAATATTATAGATACTATCTTTAATACACAAACTACTTCTTTAACTAATATGAACAAAAATGAAATAAACAAGACCTGAAATTTTTAGTTAAAAAAACAATAAACAAACATATTTTATATATCTTTACAATATCAAAACTCTTTTTTGCACTTTTACTAAAAGCTACTAAATTGTATTCTGCTTTAAAACATATTAACAAATGTTTACAATACCTTTGTAATAACTTATTAAATAATCTAACTAAAGCTAATTACTACTTATTAAAAGCAGCTATATTAGCAGAAATCAATATTCCTCCAATAATGCAAACACAACTAAGCTTCTTTTCTTCAGATATAATAACACAAATAAAATACTACAAACATATAATCTGACAGGCATGCAACTTCAAAAAAAATTAAGAGCAAAGTGAGCAAATTTTTTATTTATTTATTTATATAATATTAAGTAGAAAAAATAAAAATATATAAATATATTAATTTGATATAAATGTATAGCTAAGTATTATTTCTAAACTACACTATTGTTGCTATATATTAATAACATTTAGTATGATATTATCTTTTTATTTTCTGTTATTAGTTAAATTAACTTCTGTTAATTATTAACTACAAAAAGGAGTAAAAGAAAAACCTTTAAAGATAGTTTAATTAATAAAAACAAGTATATATATTGAAATTTTGAGACAAGATTTTAGAAATAAAGAAATCTATATTAGTATTGAATATAAAAGTAGTGTTATTGAGGTTTGAAAATTGAAAGATAGGTAAGTAAATATTGTTTTTCTTTTTAGTAGAAGCAGTGATTTCTCATACTGATTTTTATTTATAATGTTTAATATTATGAGTTTGTCAAATAGAAGAGTTGAACTATTTAAGTAGAGAGTTAAATAGAGAAATGAGAAAATTGTTAGTTGTTTTTTTTAAAATTAGTTGCAGTTGCATATATTGGTTAAGAGTTATTGTTCTCTATATAAGTAAAAGAATTGTATTGTATATACTAAAGTTAGGATAAAGGTTTTGTGAATGAAGAATTTGTAATATTGTATTTAGAGAAGTTTTTAGAAGGTTTAATGAATTTAAAGCATTGGTAATTTCATTGATAAGAATGTCTTTGAGGTTGTAGAGGTGAAGTAAGCATTGAAGTAAGTGTTCAGTATTTTTATATTAATTGCAATATAAGCAGTTTGAAGTTAGATAAAAAAAAGAATAACAGATATTTAAATTAAATATTGTTAGTAGATTGTTAAGAAGTATTTTGTTTTTAATAGAATATAATTTAAAATTAAAATTTTGAAAGTTGATAATTTTAGTTAATAGTAGAATATTTATAGTTGAAAGGTTTCATAATGTTTTTAGTTAAAGAAGTTTGTTAAATGTTTGAATTAAGAGTAAGTTCTTGCAAAATTTATGTAGTTTATATATGATTCGTATTTGATTTTAAGTAAAGAAAGTAGATAAGTAGAAGTGCTTAAGGTTAAGTTTAAGTTTGGTTTTGTTAATACTCTGTTTGGCAAGAGTGTCAACTATATTATATAAAGTATTGTTTAAATATAATTTGACTTTGTATATAATATAATTTATATTTTTGTATTTTATTAAAAAATTAAGATATGTATAATGTTTTAATTATTTTGTTTAGTTTGTAAGTTATAGTTATAAGATATAA